TAATAATATTTTTTTAATAATAATTTATTTATTTATTCAGATAATACAATCCATATGGTTAGTAAAGACATCTACAACTTATAAACTAGTATTAGTACATCAAACCTCATCATATAAAATTACGGTAGTCGCACTCGCGACCACTCGGCCAACGAGGCAGTCTTATTAAAATAACTTATTAAAATAAAGACAAATAAATAGCATTATTATTGTAAATTATATAACAGAAACAGAATGTTCTTTTATTGTGTCTATAATGACGGTACTCAACGAGTTAAAATTATGTGTAATACTATCATGGCTAATAAAAAAAGATTCCTTAGGCAAGCCAGGCACGTAACATCAACCTTTCACCAGTTATGTTGTGAGTCCTCTTTACTAGGGGACGACCCTATTCCCATCATCAGCAACAACCTATAAGTGGCCACTGCTGACCAAATGCAATTTTTCACACGGAGGCTTGAGAATTCATCACCACTATCACTTGCTCAATACGGGTTGCCAATTTCAAACTTATAATTAGAAATTATAAGCCCAGGTTTCCTCACAATGTTTTCCTTCACCGTTTGTCAGTGGTGTCTAAATAATGTTAGAAAGTACATATCATTTGGAAAAAGTCACATTGGTACTTGCCGTTGGTAGGTTTCAATCCGGTGTCATCATGCATGGAAAGTTAACATCTTGGAAAATGTTGTTGTAGCTCAGAGCAGCTACAACGTTTTCTGTATAATGTATATATTCTATCATATTCCTATATATCTAGTACTAGCGACCCGCCCCGGCTTCGCACGGGTGCAATATGCATGTATTATACATACAAACCTTCCTTAAGAATCACTCTATCTATTAAAAAAAACCGCATCAAAATCCGTTGCGTAGTTTTAAAGATCTAAGCATACATACGGACATACAGCGAAAGCGACTTTGTTTTATACTATGTATTGATAATTCCAAACTCCATTCAAACACTATAAATTCTCAAAAACCCAAAAAAAAACAACCAATAACACAGTTTTCACAATCTAACCAAGTGACCATTTCTCTCACAGCCAGTTCAGAGAAAGGCTCCAAAGGTTACTCCGGGGGAAACCCAGTATGTCCACGAGAGACACCAAAATGGCAGAAACCTATCACCAAGTTCTTCATCAGCAAGGAAGACCCTCGAGATGAGGAGGCGGATGTCGATGATGAGACTGGTAAGATGGTATTTCTTACATAGTCGGCATATTTTATCATCATCACGCACATATCAGCCATCATACTGTCCAATGCCTCCCACAGTCGTGTGCGTTACCCAGGCCATATGTTGTCGAAAATGGTCATTTGAATCTTATAGATAATTAGTTTGGCGAATTCTGTAATTGTTGCGCACATTTTTTAATTTGTTGCGCTTATAGTTTTTTTTAGTATTTCACAAAAACATTACCTGCTGGAATAACGTTACCCCAGCCAGACCTTTTTCTTTCTAATGGGAATATTTAAATAATTACTAGCTATAAAATTAGTTGTTTAGATGAAGTAAATGTTGCGCCTTGTTTTGTATTTGTTCTTTCATCGGTTGCGAAGTTATTCGAGATTCTGCTGGGGTAACGTTTTTGGTTTTGCTAGATCTTTGAAATGGTTTAGCGGATTCTTATCATATTTTGTACATGGCTTCTTAGGAATTAGTTTAAATTTGTTCTGCAATAAATCAACCAAAATAATAGGTTATTTAATTAAATAGAAAAACATTTACTTTAGACGTTATACGAATATTGAGATTATTAGAATTATTGAAATACCTACTTTCTAGCTATAAAATTACTTGTTAGAAAGAAAAAGGTCCGGCTGGGGTAACGTTACCCCAGCAGTTTCTCATGTTTGTCGTTTTTGTGAAATAATTAAAAAACTATAAGCGCAACAAATTTAAAGATATGTGCAACAATTACAGAAGACGTACAACTAATTATCTATAACATTCAAATGACCATTTTCGACAACATCTGGCCTGGGTAACGCACACCCCACAGTCCTCCCCCAATTACTACACATCGCGAGGTCGGAAGCGACCTGCATCTAACACTTTCAATGTGATAGAAGACTGTACCAAGTCTAGAATCTGTGTTATTCATATATTGAAGTTTTTAAATCGAAAAATACTTTGTCTGATCCTCCCAAAGATCTCTTGTTCGCCTATCGAATTTATGGCTACTCCACCGATGCGAAAATTGAAAATAAAAATTTGTTATGTTATATCATCATGGGCAGAGGTGCTAATTACAGCACTTAATGCCACTGTAAAATGTAACACCTATTATCACATTATGTTATGAGTTCCATGTAATAGGCGGTGAGCCTATTTGAGATTACTTATTTGAAGGGTTAAAAATCTCCATAAAATGTACTTGGGGCTTCGGATCACCACATAAGTATAGTGGTTCTGGTTAAGCAGGAGTAGAAACTGTGGTGTTTGTGTTTAGTCAGTAAGAGTCTGATACTCTCCAAACACCCAAGGCGGGGAGAAGTCATTGCTTTTTTTTTATGGGGTAAGCCGAGCTGACGGATCCCCTAATGGTAAGCAATCGGTGTCGCCGGAACACCAGAGGCGTTTCAACTGCATAATTAGCCTTTTGGAGATTAAGAATTTGAGGATTGCTAGGGTTTCAGGGATTGGGAAGATTGGGAAAGGAGGTAATTGGGCCTCCGGTAACCTTACTCACACGACAAATATAACGCGTCCGTTGTTCCACGTCAGGTTTCTGCTCGGCCGTGGTATCACTGCGGTCGAGCCGGCTCATTCGTGCTGAAGCATGGCTCTGCGACACTTAAGATGACTTTCTCTCCTTTAAAAAAATGTATCTTTTAACCATTGTCATTGAAACTAAAAATATGAATCTAATTAAACAGCCCAATTTTGATTACAGCTACCACATCAAACTCAAAACCAAAGGAGAAGCCAAATGTAATCTACTCAGATTCAGAAGAAGAAATCTTAGTAGAACAACCAAAGAACAACGTTTTAGACGAGAGCCTGGAGCTGGAGCCTCTAAATGGCGAAGATAGCCACAAAATTGAGGAATATTACCCTAAGGGGTCAAAGGGTAAAGGCGTGGGTAAGAAGTCGAAGGGTAAAGAGAACAGGGCTGATATCAAGAGGGTTAGAGAAGATGAAGATGTCGAAAGTGATTGCAAGAGGGTAAAAGTTAATTAGGATTCTTTTTTGAAATTATTTGTTGTGTGTACAGTATGTTTGGGATCGGATTTTCGATACAGGTAGGTGGTGTGTCAATTTTGTTGTTTAGAGAGATTGTAATAGGATGTTTATCGATTTATCTATTTAAACTGAAAATCGTTTTGCATCGAGGCTTGTGGAAACCAATCTACTGATATTATAATAATAATATAACGAGGAAATAATATTATAAAGAGGAAATATTTCAAAAGGAGGCTTATTTTTTGCATTAAATAAAGTTTAAGCCGAGGATAGACAAAAGGACCAATAATACATAACGGAAAATGTCCCAAGACATATTATATCAGCGACATGTCGAGCGAAGCTGGCCGATATCGCCCGACATATACGGCGACAACGCGCAACTTATATCCACAGTGACGTTGATGTTGCCAAACATATCGACCAAACTCCGGCACCGTCGCGATACTTCACCCAACGTCGCTAGCGACACCTTATATGGCTTGGCTTCAAAATTAATACTGGACAGATTTGAAACACTTCTACCATTGATCGCGACTTGGCCTGTTATAAGGATTGGTCGATATTATAATAAAAATAATGTATCGAAAACCCGATCCTGAACACAATCACATTCCTAAAATGTTTGTGTTTTCATATTGATAAAACATTGCTGGTTTTATTGTTTTATCATAATATACAGAATGTAAACGAACTCTCCCGAAAACCGCTGACAAAAAAGAAATTGTTTTTACAATTTGAATCGTTTCTGTTTCGTGTTATTCATACAACATCAGTCTTGAGCAGTTGATTACAACTATTGTTACATACTAGCTTCTGCCATCGGCTTCACCCGCGATCCTATGGGTAAAATGCTTAAAAAATGGCGTAGCTTCTCACGTTTTCCCCTTGGAAATGTTCCCTTCACTGCTCTGCTCCTATTGATTGCAGCGTGATGGAATGTATACTATTACCTCCCCAGGAGTATGAAGAATTGTCCCAGGTTTTGTTAAAACACTTTGAGTAGTTTTTGTTTCTATAAGGAACATACAGACAGAATGGGCCGGCGCGATCGGAGTGATACCACGGCCTCACAGAAAACCGACGTGAAGCAACGCTTGCGTTGTGTTTCGTCGTTGAGTGAGGTTACCGGAGGTCCAATTACCCTCCACTTCCCCAATCTCCCCAATCCCTGAATCCCCAACGATCCTCAAACTCCTAATCCCCAAAAAGCCGGTAACGCACTTGTAACGCCTCTGGTGTTCCAGTTGTCCATGGGTGACGCGGATTGCTTACCATCAGGTGATCGGTCTGCTCGTTTACCAGCTTATGCCATAAAAAAAGACACACAATTTTTTTTCTGATTGGATTTTTGGCATTAGTCACCCCCTGATAATTATTTTGGAAATATATTTCATGTACAGAATTGATCTCTACAGATTTATTATAAGTATTGAAACCCACTTATCCCCAAGCGGTCACCGGTTATAGTTCTCCAGTAACTATATTATAGACCTTATTTCCGATGTTTAGAGACTACTTTTGTATAAACAAATTAGGGGATGATTTTTAATTGAAAATAATCATTTCATTTCTTATTTTAATGACAATAGAACTTGTTTTTGACCATCACATGTCAGCGCTTTGTCGGGAACGTTCGAGTTACACCTGTATTAAAGAAAACAAGCGTGATTTCATCATCAATTTTCATTTGAGCTCGCCATACTTCGGCACCACTGTGTTGGTTCAACCGGAGTGATACCACAGCCAAGCAGAGAGAGAAAACCATAGTGAAATATCTCTTGCGTTGTGTTTTGCTGTTCGTACAAAACTTTATTTGACAATATAACAAATTAATTTTTACCAGTTCAAGTGTAAAACTGTGATCAAATATCTCATTTCAGAATTTATTATATTAATAGAAATAGTTTACACTTCTTCAAATATATTTCTCGTGATTTTTGATTTTGTATTTTGATAAAATGCTACGCTAAAGTTAATTATTATGTTTTCGTCTTACTCACGTAACTGTTTGAAGAGGAACTCGACTAGTTTCAAGCCATGCTGGAGGCTCTTTATGAGCAGTATTCCGCGACACAATGCGGCGACTGTCGCGCTGCTACTGGCTACTGGAGTATACTCTGAGCTTAATCACGGCAGAGGGCGTGCTGAGCCCGCATCGCAGCAGACTCGAGTAATTTATGTGCAAAGTCAAAGCATTTATTTTAATTAAATAATAATTTGGTACTTTTGAAACGTCAACAAATACAAAATAAATAAGTCTCTCAGTCAGTCCGTCGGTGAAGCTAGGTGAAGCTAGGTGCTCATTCCAAAATGTAGATTCGAATGGAGAAGAACGAGCAAGAAACTCCATTCGTTACTCTTTTCAAAAAAGTATGTTTTACAATTTCTCTGATACATATTTCTTTAGCATGGCTTGAAACTAGTCGAGTTCCTCGTCAAATAATTACGTGAGTAAGCCGAAAACATAATAATTAATTTAGGATGTCCTACGAAAGTTATATCATAAAAATACGTCAAAGTTTATAAATGAAATCAGTATATTGTGATTTAAGAGGAGATTTCTTTAAAAAATGTATTTCGTTAAAATTAGCTTTGAAAGCGTAATTGTATAAGTTCCTGATATAATTTAACACTAATAGGCCGGTGACACACTTGTAAAGCCTCTTGTGTTGCCTCTAGTCCGAGGTCGACCCAGATTGCTTACCATTAGGTGATCCGTCTGCTCGTTTACCGGCTTATACAAAAAAAGTATGTTTTCTAGAGGGGATACTACCTCTAGACCTTATGTATACTTGCTCTGGCAAAACGTTGCCAAGGAGCTCTTACACTCGAGCGTCATGTTGCCAACGGCTGAGGTAACTGCAGTTCGACGTTTCAACTTCGGAAAACGTTACAATTGGGTACTTTTATTAATCAAAAATAAATTATTTCGACTGTTCAATACTATAAAATCATAAAAAATAATCACACTTTCATTAATTGATTTTATGACCAACTTAATTTGAGTATTTTTCCAGCAATTTTTTAAGAAATAAGTATACTGTTTGACGCTACAAAAACGTGACGTCCCAATACACAATTTCGTACAAAATTCATAAAATAACTCGTTGTTGACAGTTTAAAAAAAGTATTGAATTTGACTAGTTAGCACAATTGCAGCAAAGTGTCGCTATAAGTAGACTGCCGTCGTCAGGTCAACGGTCACCGCCGACACGTGTCGATATAGGTCCTCGGTTGCCGCCGACACGTATCGACGGCAGCAGTTGCCTCTGCCGTTAGTAACATATGGCTCGAGTGTTGCAAGTACAATCGTGCGCAGACAGACAGTGTTGCTAGACAAAAGTTGAACATGCTTAGCAGTATTTTGTGCAAAATGTCGCGTCTCAAATGTTGCCTAGTAAACACAAGGGCAATGTTGATTGCTTACCATCAGGGGGGTTACTCTTGAATCCAATTCCGACCGATCGAGGGTATTGTGAAATTTCGTACTCTTGAATTGCGACACTAACGCCCATTGCATCCGTATTGCGTGGATATTGAATGAACTAAATGGTATATTCCTTACTCTGAATGCTATTGTAACAGCTACGGTTGTGGTTGTATAGTGTTGACATTGTATGATTATTGAGATTGTATTGGATTGTAATTGCATTGACATTAAGATTGGTTTCAAGAGTAAGCACCTAGGTGATCCGCCTGCTCGATGCTCGGAACAATAACATTGTTACGAGGCTCGATGACTCTCGTTCCATCAGATATCTTTACTACACCATAAAATTAGTTTTTAAGACAAATACCAGTCTGTTTAAGTTTTTTGTAGATATTTAAGGAAAATCAGTTTTGAGACCAAATTAAATATTAAGTTTATGACTAACGTTTGTGTTTTATTTTATTGTCAGTTTTCTGAAGAGATAGTTATAGACAGATATGCACCTATCCATAAATTAGTCTATTCTTTTAAATTGACTTCTTAAAAAAAATCGTCCTGAGTCATGGGTGTTTTTATTTTAAACAAGTATGGGAGAGCTATGCTTCGGCACGAATCAGTCGGCTCGACTGGAGTGATATCACCAACGAGCAGAAAACCATAGTGAAACAACGCTTGTTGTTTCGTCGTGTGAGTGAGGTCACCGCACCGAAGGTCCAATTACCCGCACTTCCCGCACTTCCCAATCCCTAAATCCTCAAATTTCTAGTCCCCAAAAGGCCGGTAACGCACTTGTAACGCTTCTTGTGTTCCGGGTGTCTATGGGCGACGCCGATTGCTTACCAACAGGTGATCTGTCAACTCGTTTACCAGCTTATACCAATAAAAAACATCACACCCAGATCCGAAACAACTAATTACAATTATTAATTCAGTTATCAAATCCACGACTAATTACGTACAAGCTGCTTGTGGTGGGCTAAGTGGGTACTTTTTAGTTTAGAATTATCTTGAAAGAAGAAAGAAAAAGCATTTATTCGACAGTTTCTAGTCTATGGTTTCCTTATGATGTTTTCGGCTAACTCACGTAACTGTTTGAGTGTGCGTTACGCAGGCCAGATGTTGTCGAAAATGGTCATTTGAATCCTACAGATAATTGGTGGTGCGGCTTCTGTAATTGTTGCGCACATTTTTAAATTTATTGCGCTTATAGTTTATTTAATTAATTTACAAAAACATTTCCTGCTGGGGTGACATTATCCCAGCCAGACCTTTTTCTTTCTAATAGGAATATTGAAATAATTACTAGCTATAAAATTAGTTGTCTAGAATCTAGACCTTCATCTAGACTCTAGATGAAGGTAATGTTGTGCCTTATTTTGTATTTATTCTTTCATTGGTTGCGAATTTATTCGAGATTTTACTGGGGTAACGTTTTTGGTGTGCGTTACCCAAGCCAGATGTTGTCGAAAATGGTCATGTGAATCTTATAGATAATTATTAGTTTGCGGTTACTGTAATTGTTGCGCACATTTTTAAATTTGTTGCGCTTATAGTTTTTAATTATTTCACAAAAACATGACAAACATGAGAAACTGCTGGGGTAACGTTACCCCAGCCGGACCTTTTTCTTTCTAATGGAAATATTTAAATAATTGCTAGCTTCGATTAACAATAACAACTAAATATCGGGTCGGCACAAGAAAATCGTCGGCACAATTGCAAAAATGTTAGTTGTTGCTAGACAAAAGTTTAACATGCTTAGCAGTATTTTGTGCAAAATGTCGCGTGTCAAATGTTGCCTAGTAAAAACAAGGGCGATGTTGATTGCTTACCATGAGGGCTTACTCTTGAATCCAATTCCGACCGATCGACATTGGTATTGTGAAATTTCGTACTCTTGAATTGCGACACTAACGCCCATTGCATCCGTATTGCGTGGATATTGAATGAACTAAATGGTATATTCCTTACTCTGAATGCTGTTTTAACAGCTACGAAAGAGGTAGTATAGTTTTGACATTGTATGATTGTTGAGATTTTATTGGAATTTTTTTGTTTTATTTAATTTTAATTTCTTTGTGTACATACTTTGTTGTGTTATTATTATTATTATTGTAAATAAAAATGTCATTTTTTGTAATTTTTGTACTTTTATTTTATTGTTATTATGCAAAGATTTTCTTTATTTCTAGTCTTTGGTTGTTTAGCCTTTTGAGAAGGGCACTCCGGCGTTGGTTTCCAAGTAGAAAACGCCAGATTTTCTGGAAAAAAACAAAATATAGTTCTTATTACAAAGAGCTCTTGAGAGCCTCATATTTTTTAAAGTCGACTTAATAAGTAGATAACATAAGGATCTCATTAATATTGATTAGTCGCAAACTGTCCTCTATATACTCTATAAGATTCGACTTATGAGTCAGATAAATGAGAATTATGGTTTTTGAATTCGGTTTCGATGGATAGTAAGGGAACGGCAGTTCTTTTTTAACTAACTTTCTCACAATCGATTTTGATGTGGTATTCAAATAAGTATCATAGTTTGGAACAAGATTTTGTATATTAAAATCGTTTTTAATAAAAGGATGTTGGAGTCTGGTATATGTAAGGATACTAACCCAGTCTTAGGTTCGATTCCTCCC